TTTACTGCAAGTTCGTTTATGCAACCATACGCTGTTTTCGGTAATCCCGTTTACAAACTGACCAATGACTGTACTCATGGTAAACCGATTCGTTGCCGTGAATGCTTTGAATTTGGTCATAAACAAGGACAAAATATATGTAGACACTCATAGAGAAGTGGCAAAGAAGTAGAAGCCGAAACTTATCTTGTAACCATTGTAATATATACGATATATTAATTGACGAATGTAGTCAAGAAATATTAACAAGTTCAGTTAATGAAGACGTTCCCATTCTTAATTTTATAGATATAAGTAGATCTAAAAAACTTCCTAAAATAATACGAAAAAAAGAAAAAAAATAACTCCGATAATATCACCAATAATATAAAGATTGCATATAATAATATTGTAGGTTTTAAAAGTAAAAAATATGAATACATAAATTCTTAAACATAAACAACATTAATATTTTTGGTATTGTTGAAACATTCTTGAAAGAAAATGATGATGTTAAAATCAAAGTTTATAATTGGATTGGAAAAAATAGAATATTGTGTACGAAAAAAAGTCAAGGCGGGATTGGTATACTAATTAAAGATAATATTCGATTCATTGATGATAATGTTCTTGACACTAGATCCGATACTCTTGAAAGATTATGGATCAAAGTTCAATTTAACACTAACAATTTTACTAATTTAAATTATTTTATAGCCATTACTTATTTTCCATGTGAAGGAACCGATCACAACCTAACAGACGAAATGTATGTTGCCCTCTTAGCAGAGAGTATAGAGATCAGTCAAAACAATGAGGAAGCAAAAATTATAATACTCGGAGACTTCAATGATAAAATTGGTAGTTTAATTACTAACGGTGATGATACTACTAACTATAACGGCCAAGGCCTTATTGATTTTAGTAATGATAGCGATCTACATATTGTAAACTGTAGTGATAAATGCACTGGTAAGTTTACCTGGTTCCAAAACCAACATAAAAGCATACTAGATTATGGCCTTGTTTCAAATAATGTTTACGATAACATAAAGGAATTCTTAATCGATGACCATGGTATTTTCAACTTAGGCAGTGACCATAATATGATCACTATCGAAATGGATATTCAACCAACACACAAAATTCAAACCGTGAAAACCATTGATTACTGTTGGAATATAAAACATGATCAAGATTGGATACCGTTCCAAGAAGATCTTGTTTCTAGATTTAATAACTGGGACCCTGATCAGTTAAGTGCTAATGAAGCATGGGACACATGGAAATCTCGCGTCCTATTCTCCGCTAAAAATACTATAGGATATAAAAACAAACCTAATAGCAAACCATGGTTTGATAATGAAATTGAAATTGCTATTAAAAAAAGAAAAGACACTTGTCTAAAGTATATGTGATATTCTCTGAAAAAATTACCAAACAAAACGCAATGAATGTAAAAACTTTAATAAGACAAAAAGTTATGAAAAGACGAGTAGATACATGCTCAAAAATAATGGGAAAATGTGGATCCCAGTCACGAGAATTCTGGTCAACTTTGAAAGGGAATGAGCAAAGTAACAATATCACATCGATTTTGATTCCAGGAACTGACAAAGTAACATCAGACGTATCAATGATAAAAGCAACACTTGTCAGCTATTTCAAAACGTTAAGCAAAACGAACGTAAATTCAGAAAATGAGAACTTAAATGATTACACTCTTAAAAATAATAGTTACCAATTACTTAAAGATAACTCAGAATTTAATGACCCGACTCTCGAAAAACTCGCGTTTACACGAGATGACGTAAAGTATGCGATTTCGCTTTGTAAGAACAACAAAAGCCCAGACATAGACACAATCACTAATGAATTGATAAAGAATGGAGGCCAAGTAATGATCACTTCATTATATAAACTATTTAAAAGGCTCGCTATTCTAGAATGTATCCCAGATGATTGGAACAATGGCACAATCATCCCCATATTTAAAAAAGGCGACCGACATATTAAACTTAGACAACTATATTGGTATAACTTTAAACTCCTGTGTTGCAAAAGTTTATAGCAGAATAATTTCCCGAACTTTATCTGAATTTATTGAAAATAATGATTTATTAACTGAGGTACAAGTGGGATTCCGTAGAGATAGGCGATGTGAAGACCATATCTTCACTTTAAAGAGTATAATCGCCACTCGCCAAGCTGAGGGGAAGAGACCTTTTTAGCCTTTTTAGATTTCAGAAAGGCATTTGATACGGTTTGGAGGGAGGGTCTCATGAAAGCACTAGACGCGATTGGGATAAAAGGAAATTTATTTAATATAATACGAAACTTAATATTAATTGTAAAATAAAGTTTGGTGATATTGAAACTGAGTTCTTTAACATTGAAGAGGGCGTAAAACAGGGATGTTCTCTTTCCCCAACTTTATTTTCAATTTATATTATTGAATTATGTAAAATGTTACAAAATAGGAATTTAGGAGTGAACATATTTAACAATACATTTAACTGTCTTTTTTGGGCAGACGATGTTGTTCTTATTGGTGAAAATGAGGAGGACCTCAATACGCTTTTACAAATCACTACTGAGTTCTCAAAACAATGGAAATGTCTTTCAACTACAGTAAATCTAATATTCTTATTACCGGACAAAGAGTCAATATACATAAAAAATGGAGGTTAGGTAACATATCTGAAACTGAAAAATACAGATATCTAGGTGTGATAATCTCACGTACGATGTCTGACAATTCTCACATCAATGAAGTAGTTAAAAAGGGTAATCGCGTAATTGCATACATTAGATCAATCATAAATGAACAAGATGATTTCAATAGGGTATACTACGGGGATCTATTATGGAAGTCCATTGGAATCCCCACAATTAACTGCGCTTGTTCGATTTGGTTTTGTAACGGTAAAACAGCAAATGTAACAGTTGAAAATTTGCAATATTTAATGGCAAGAAGCATTCTAAAAGCACCGCGAAACATTGCTAAGGAAGCACTCTACGGTGACCTAGGGTGGCAGTCAATTAAATCATTACATAATTACTCGCGTGTTAAATATCTATATCGCTTACAGATAATGGATGATAGTAGATGGACAAACATTTTATTTAATGCAATAAAATTGGTTGACAAACAATTGAAATGGGGATGGTTAAATCAAGTCCGAGAAACTTTTAAAAAATGTAATATGGAAGACATACTATATAATGAACCGAGTTTTAACTGGTCACTAAAGTTAAAAGTTGAAATTATAAACAACGACAATAAAGAATGGCAAAAAAGAGCCCAATCAAAATCCTCATTACAGATAATGGATGATAGTAGATGGACAAACATTTTATTTAATGCAATAAAATTGGTTGACAAACAATTGAAATGGGGATGGTTAAATCAAGTCCGAGAAACTTTTAAAAAATGTAATATGGAAGACATACTATATAATGAACCGAGTTTTAACTGGTCACTAAAGTTAAAAGTTGAAATTATAAACAACGACAATAAAGAATGGCAAAAAAGAGCACAATCAAAATCCTCATTACTACATTATAATATGTATAAAGAAAAACCATTGCTTGAACCATATATTCTTGACCAAACGGACTTTAAACGAAGGAGTCTAAAATTTCAAGCCCGCTCAAATACGCTAAACCTTGAGGGTAGAAAAGAAGTCTGGTCGCCTACAAATTCGGGGATATGTAAACTGTGTAATGACAACACTAAAGAAACTATAGTACACTTCATACTAGAATGTAATAGTTTAAATGAATTAAGAGAGGAATGTTTTGAAAGCCTTAAAACTGACTTAATTCTTAATGATTTTCATTCTTTTTGGAAATCATTCGATGAAGGTAGCTCGGAAATGAGAATACACCTGTTACTGGATAATTTATACAATGTAAACCCGACTTTAGGAAAACTGTTTGACACCTGCTGCAAAACATATTTACAGAAGGCTTGGGAAGCCCGAACAGACTTTTACAAGAAACCCCCCCCCCCAAATTTGAACTAAAGAATAATTACTAAATGTAAAAATACTGTAGAAAATTTGCTTACTATGGTATTGTGGTTTTATGTTTTAATATACAGTACATTTTAAACTTAGATAAGTACTTTATTTTTTTATTTATCCTAAAGTTGTTTTTTCTTTTTTTTTTTTTTACTTTCTTAAATTCTGTGTTTGATTCTTTGATCTCATTTCTTTTTTTAACTTTTTCTTTTGTTGCGAACTTTGTTATGATTGCACTTTGAAATTCACTTCATGTAATAACATTTGGGTAATCTACAGTTTGGGGGGAGGGGTGGGAGGAGCCGATGTTGTTATACATTTCATCATGTATCTTTTATTTTATTCTATTTATTTTGCTGTAAAGAATCTTGTAACCGATAAAATGTATACCTTTCTCAAACTGTGTCATTACTACTCTGTTCGATAATTACACTGCTTACCGCATATTTGAATTTGATTCTTTTTTTTTTTTTTTTTTTTTTTACATCGTTAAGCTTATTGTTTAATTTTACATTTATATTAATTTGTTAATTAAGTTAATTAAGTTGTTTTTTTTAAATCTCTTTATCTTTAATTTTCTTGTAATATCGTTTTACATTTTGTTCATATTATGTATATTGTGTGGACGCACCACCTTGCTAGGTGGTGCCACTGATCTTAAAGTGAGTTCCAATAAATACTGAAATACTGAAATACTGACTGTTGACTGAGCACCTAAGCATGACGATAGTAACCGCCCAGACACGGCTCATTGGTTTTGACTAGAACAGTGCCTATACAGCAAAGGATTAGAATTAGAACACGGACCAATACTACCATATGCTATGGGTTGTAAAAAAACAAAAACAAACACCGTCCACGGATTTAACTTCAAAATATGTTAGCTAGGTTTTTCCTATTTACACCATTGTCGGAAAACAGAAATATAGTAAAAGTAAATAATGCGCTACTATTGTATAATAAAATACAATTCTTCTCCTGTGTAAACACGCTACGGACAGAGTGTGTACAATGCAGGATTGTTGTATTTCATCATAGAAACATTAATTGTATAGTATATTAGCGTTTATAAAACTTTATTATATCGTCCTAGTCAGTCTGAGAACGTTCACACGAAAAATTCCCAGTCAGGAAGCCCCGAGAACTTTTCCCATAGCCTAATATTTTTTTTAGCTACAGTTCTTTCTTTCAGGTGCATTCCAAAGTCCAGACCAAGCGATCAGCAAGGGTAGCTGTATTAGCTATTGAATCTATTGCTCATACCCATCCGACTGTTGAAGCACATGTTACCGTTGCATGGCTCACTTTCACAAGTAATTATAATTATATTGAGAAACTCCAGACTACGATAACGTGTTTATATATATACCCTTGCGTATCTAAAACATTTAGCACGGGGGAACTGATTGGGGAAAAAGATTTTGAGTGCGGGATGGAAAATGAAATATGCCTAAATGGCAAACAAAAGTGAGGTGATTGTTAACTATAGCGTAATTTTTTGCTGTGGATAAATATTTCAAACATGATGGCCTTCTTCCGTGTGAGGACAACTGACAAGAAATAGAGCAAGGATTGTATTTAAGAATTTAAATAACAACGGATACTGATTAAAGGCGATGAAATAAATAATTCAGAATAAACAATGATGATAAAGGCCTGGGAAAAAAGAACGAAATTAATTATAAATAAATAATTTAGTCTGATCAAGTCTTATTTAAACCCCTATTTGTGATATTGGTTCTAACTATCCATTTTAATTCTTTTTTACGTCTATTGGAAAGGGATGAAAACTATTTTGAGGGGAATCTTTTTATAAGATTCTAAGGCGCAGGACAGTGAGACATTTTATACCTTGTTTTTAGCTTATTTATTTTATAAAAAATTGACAGAATGATTTTATTTTCTAGTTGCACTTGTCAATTTTATTTTAAAAAGTCTTGCCTCGTTCAGTAAACCCTAACCGGGCTAAAAACATTGTTTCCAAAATTAATTAGCT